TCCTCTACCCCCCCTCCTCAATTGTGGTCATAAGTCAAGGATTCCCAGTATCATATAGTGTGGACTGTTGCTCTCTGTCATTAAGAATGAACGGTTGTCCTAGGTGGGTGTCCCATCTGGTCCAATTCTGGTTCCTCCAGAAGAAAAAGTAGACTTGACAGGAAGCGAGTTTGTTGTTGAAGGACCTGGTTCTTCTTTTTCCAGGAAGAAGAGGAAGAGGATGAGCCTCCTGTTCTTCCTCCACGGGGCCTGGACTTGCAAGGTGACCCCAGAAGAGAACTTCCTCTCCCACCTTCTGGCCACCAAGGACAGGAGCAGCCCCTCTATACGGAAAGTGTCGAGGATGGAGGTGATTATGAGGATGTGATTGGAAACGTGGACTACGAGGAACCTCCTCCCTTGGCTGAGGATGACGACGACAGAGGGGATTATGAGGAAATGCCAGACCACAAGGACACCTCCAAAGATGACGGTGCTGAGGTGGACCAGGAATATGAGGAACTCTGCAGTGGCCAGCCTGGAGGAATGACTTCTTCAGGTGAGAGAAGGAGGGCGAGTTGGTTGAGCAGGGAGTTGGAAACTCAAGTCTTGACTTCAATGTGTAGTATGTGTGATGACCCGGGGCATGGCACAGAGATAACACAGGCAACTGGCAATTCAAACCACCCTTTTATGGCTCCAGATTTCCCCAAACGCTCCCACGTTTCTGGCAAGACCCAGAGCAAAATGATGACAAACCCATCCACCCACCCCCGACACCTCAAGCAGCCTCTGGCTGCAAATACTCCAACCCTGCGTGGTGTACCCCAAGGCTGCCCAGCAATAAATCCAGCAGGGCAAATCAAGGAGTTAAGGAAGCAAAGGATCCAGGGAATTAGTCCCGAAAGCCGGAAAGAATTCAAGGACTCTTGGGAAGTTCCAACGTCGGCACTCAACACTCCAGGAATTTAGTGTTTGTTTCTGACAAATGTCCCTCCCCACAGCGTCTCCTTAAGCCTCATTCCCCAGGTGTGCTTTGTGAAGAGGGGTGGGGCGCTCTCCTCCCGAGTAGCCTGCTCAGTCTGCACTGTTCCCGCCTTCTCTCCGCTCTCTGTGCTCTTGGATCAAGGGGTGGTCCTTGCTCCTCGCCTGAGCTCTGTCTCTCATGTTCATCCTGCCCCTGTTTCTCTGTTCCCTGTTCCCTAATCCTTTTTGTTGCTCTTCTCTGCACTCTTTCTAGAGTCTTAACATCCTTTTTTTACATCATGATGACCAAAACTGGATGCAGTATTCCAACTGTTGCCTTACCAAGGCATTATAAAGTGGTATTAACACTTCACGTGATCTTGATTCTGTCCCCCTGTTTGTGCGGCCTAGTACTGCATTGGCTTTTTTTGGCAGCTGCTGCCCATGGTTGGCTCATAATTTAAGTGATTGTCCACCAAGACTCTTAGAACATCAACCCTTTGAGATAAATGTGCCTTGATTTAAATTCTTGAGCCATTGAGGGTGGGAGCAGTTGAGGTTCAACTCAACTTTTCAAGTTAAAGAGGCAGGATCATTCAGACGATGGTCGTAATAAGATACCCCCATCTCCACAATTTTCTTTCTCAGGTGTTGAAGAGCATATTTATGATGTGAGTGAAGGAAGCCTGTCTGCCCTGGCCCTCTATGACTATCAAGGAGGTGAGTCAATTCTTCTGGATAATGGGGACTGGGAAGCACACGGAGGTGACCAGGGGTGGGGTGCAAATATTTTTACCACTTCTGGTTCTGTGGGCGTGGCTAGGTGGGCATGGCTAGGTGGGTGTAGCCATGTGACTGGGTGGGTGTGGCTTCTTCTTCTATTTTGGAAGCAGGGCACACGCCCTGTGCTCTGTTTTTTCACCTCCTGGGCAAAGCAGTAAGACAGTGAGGGGGATCCTGGAACAGCTGATTGTCGGAACAGCTGATCATCAGGAGGAAAAAAGAAAACCTTAAGGAGTGACTGAGTGGGGGAGAATGCCGTCAGTGATGTCAAACATGCGTACAATGTTATGCATGCGCGATAAGGACTGACTGGGCAGGGACGGGAGGGGTGGGTGGAGAGGGGCGAGGCCAGCCAGGGGCGCAATTTGCTGGTTCTCTGAACTGAGCAGCACCGTAACAACCAGCTCTACAGAACCAGTCCGAACCGGTAGAATCCCACCCCTGGAGGTAATTATGATGGGTGAGGAATAACAGACTAACAGAGTTGGAAAGGGCCCTTGGAGGTCTTCTAGTCCGACCCCCTGCTCAAGCAAGAGACCCCATACCATTCTAGACAAATGGTTGTCCGGTCTCTTCTTGAAAACCTCCAGTGTTGAAGCACCCACAACTTCTGGAGGAAAGTTGTTCCACTGATTAATGGTTCTAATTGTCAGGAAAATGCTTACTCTTGGTCTAAACAAGTATTGCCTGCTAGTTAAGACCGTCTCCATTTTGTTTTCCAGAGGGGGAAGATGAGATTTCCTTTGACCCTGGAGACATCATCACATCCATCGAACAGGTGGATGAGGGCTGGTGGCGTGGATCTTGCCGTGGTAGAGTTGGCCTATTCCCTGCTAACTATGTGGAGCTCCTTCCGTGAAGTTCTGCCCAAGAGCAGGCACCCACCTCTTGCTTCTCCAGTACCCATACTTGCCATGTGACACCACAGACCACAACTCTGCCCCGATGTAGGGGAAGTGGAGAAGTGGATCTACTCTCTCTTCCATGGAACAATCAGATGCTTCTCCTTCCTGGAGCTATTGTACATCACCAGGATCTGTCCTCCTGCTTTTCTGGTCATGCGGTGATCTCTGAACCTATTCAGGCTGCACCTGGTTTGTTTAATCTCCGTCAGTGGATCCCCACAACCTCCCCATGCCCAGTCTTTCTGGGACTCCTAATTCCATCTTGGCTAAGTCACTCAGGGACCAAGAGAAAACAGGCACGAAAGCTCCGTGGAGTTAGAAGGATGGAGATTAGTTCTGTTCGTGCAGGTTGTCCTTCCCTCACAGGGGTGGGCTTCCAACATTTTAGCAAAGGGTTCCCTGCCCGGTTGCTGGGTGGGCGTGGCCATGGTGGGCGTGGCCTCGTTGGCCTCCTGCACCATGTTGTTGGTGGGGGCATTTTTGCCTTTCCCAGGCTCCAGAGGCTTTCCTTGAGCCCCCCCCCCGGAGGACGACAACCGCCTCCCTGGACTCTGGAGGCTCTCTGGAAGTTGGAAACGGGCCCAATTTCTGCCCTTCCCGAACTTCCAGGAGCCCTTTTTTCTGGCCCTCCTTGAACCTCCCTGCATGCCCTGCACTTATCTGCATCCAGAATGGACCCCATGGAGACTCCTGGGAGGGGAGGGGAGGAGTTGGTGGGTCAAGCCAGGAGTGTGATTTGGGGGTTCTCTGAACTGCAGAGAGTCTTATTGAGGGGCTCCCCTGAACCCCTGCGAACCCCCAGCAGCCCACTCCTGCTTACAACTTTTCATTTAGCAACTAAAGTTTCAATGGCACTTTCAAAAAAGGGATGATCCTTGCATCTATGACTATCACAGACTCCCCACAGGGGCTGCTCTTCTGCTTTGGGGCAGGCGCCCCAAAATAGGCTTCTGGCATCTCTGAATGCTTAACCTTTCACGTCTGTCTCTCTTTCCCCAACTTGGACTGATCCCCACTGTTGGAGCTCACACCCCGCTAATTCCCGATCAACACGCCTGGTGGGAAGCAGACCTCCTGGCCACTGATCCTCATAGCTGGCACTCCTGCCTGTGGCAAACAGAGGAAGAGTCATATTAAACCATAAGCAACGTTAAACTTATTTAAATCCAAAGGTGTTTCATTTCCCAGTTACATGTCAATGTATGAGACGACATCCAATCTGCAAATTTATAGCTACTAAATGCAATGGGGAATCTGATGATCTTACTGGTTAGTTCAATTGAAGCGTTATCATTTGTTGGAAGGAAAATCCATCTCGTTCAGTTCCAAGAAAGACGCCGGAAACAACATGGAGGCTTGATTGGAAAGAAAGTTTATTGATGAACAGAGCCAACAACATGCGGTTCTGGGTCAGCTGAACAATTAGCTAGATGAGTGTCCCTCCCTCTCTCTCTCTCTCTCTCTCTCTCTCTCTCTGTGTGTGTGTGTGTGTGTGTGTGGTGTGTGTAATGCCCTTAGGCAATTGTGCCATGTAGTGAGCTCCGTGTCTTCTGCTAAATGGTAGTGGGTTCATCTTATTATATCCTGAATGGTCCTGTCCAGTTCTTAGAATTTGGGTGGAGGGGAATGTAAATTTTTAATCCCATCCTTGGAGGTGAAGGTCTTTTGTTTTGTGTGTCAACTCACAAAACATTTCTATGGTCTTTTTAGAGTGGCCAACAGAAAGGGAGGGGGGAGCAGTGTGGCAGCTTGCAAAATCGAAAGTGCATTCCATAAATAGTTTTCAAATATTGTAACTAGGTGACTGAAGTTTCTGCTGTGCAAAATTCTAACTGGAGAACATGATTGATGACTCTTGGCTATGGATGTGTCCCATTGGAGAATATGGATTATGATACACCCAGGGGGTGGGGGGAAACCCAGGGTCAAGAGTTAGAATGAATTGTGTGTCTCAGAGTCGGCTACACCCAGGAAGTGCCGGCATGTTTACTCCTAATAAATCCTTTTTAAGTTTTGGAAGTTTGGCTCAAGACTTATGATTTAAATGGGGGTCACTGCCGGAATCCTGACAGCTAGCTGACTCTCTCCACATGCTCATTGCAGCGAACCAGTTTGCTGCCAGCTGATCTTCGTAGTAAAGGGGTTCGCCCAAACCGATCTGAACTGGTAGAATCCCACCCGTGATGCTGGCCTAATCTTTCTTAATGGGCACAAAATGTCTGCTGGGGCTGTTAAGAAAAACTGAATCTGCTTTCTGTCTTTAAGAGCATGCTTCTCCATTTCTCCTTTAGGCAAGTATAATATTCTGCCTTTTTAATATCCCCCAAAACATTTCATTATTCTAGGGGTGCTTCCCACACATTGAAGTTTCCTAAATTTTATAGCATTGGAGGTTCCAAGTGGAACAGTCTCACCAGCATTCATTCAATTTCTATCGTCGCTCAACTCAACAAAGTGACTCTGGGCACCTCATGGTGTTGCACATTGGAAATGAAACCCATGTTGATACTTCAACTGTGTAGGGTTCTGATCAAAGTGAAACTCACCTGAGACTCTGCCTGAAGGAAGAGGTCTCGGTGCTCCACACTGAACACAACAAGCCAAACTGGAGATGTTGACCCTCCACACCAAATTGTTTTATGCCAGAGACATCAATAAAGACCCATTACAAATAAATCTGTAGGACTATCTGGGATGGGTGGGGACTTCTGGGAGTTGAAGTCTACACATCTTCAAGTTGCCAAGGTTAAGGAGCTTCTCATTCAGAAATTATCCTGCTGGCTGGGGAATTCTGGGAGATGAAGTTCACATAGATCTTCAAGTTGCCAAGGTTGGGAAACATTGTCCTAACCATTCAGAAGTTTTCGTAAGTATCACTGCAAGCAATTTTTAAGAGTGGGGGGACATCAGAGAAGACGTGATGGATTGTGGTGGCTCTACAGAAGACCAAACTGGTGGTCAAGGCAGTGTGAAGTGTGGAGTTTACAAGGCCCCAGATAGAATAGAATAGAATCATTTACTGGCCAAGTGTGATTGGACACACAAGGAATTTGTCTTGGTGCAAATGCTCTCAGTGTACATAAAAGGAAAGATACATTCGTCAAGAGTCAAGAATCATAAGGTACAACACTTAAAAGCAATCAAATCATACTAGGAAAAAGTCAGTATAAATTGTAAGGATACAAGCGACAAAGTCATACAGTCATACAGTCACAAGTGGGAGAGGGTGAGTGATAAGGAGTGATGAGAAGGTTAATGGTAATAGTAGTGCAGTCTTTGTAAATAGTTGGAAAGTGTTGAGGGAATTATTTAGCAGAGTGATGGCATTTGGGAAACATTGTCCTTGTGTCTAGTTGTTCTGGTGTGCAGGGCTCTGTAGTGTCGTTCACATCCATGAAGCCATAGCCAGAGGGACTTGCACTTCCCTACTCATGAGTTGCATATAGTGCAAAGGTTCACAGATGGCCGCATAGGCCATCACAGCCAGCAGTGTGCATTCAGATCCAGCACATGTCATTAAGAAGAACATCTGGGCCATGCACTCATTGTAGGAGATGGTGGGCTGCTGGCATAAGAGGTTCACAAGGATCTTTGGAACCGTGACCGAGGAACAGCAAATGTCTAAGCAGGACAAATGGCTGAGGAAATAGTACATGGGACTGTGGTGGCATGAATCCAGCTGGATGTCATATACACTGGCAGCATATGCACCAAGACAAATTCCTTGTGTGTCCAATCACGCTTGGCCAATCAAGAACTCTCTCTGTCTTTCATCAAAATGAATATCATTGAGTTGGCTGCCAAGGTGATGAATTAGATGGCCAGAAATGAAAGAGGAAGGGGCGTCCTCTGGGCATGCCAGAGAAACCCAGGAACAAGAATTCGGTCACCTGCAGGGTCTGATTTCTACCTTCCATGAGATCCACCAAGCTTTGGTGGACAACACTGGAATGCAGCAGATTTCAGGAATAGTCATAGATTTCAAACCACAGCATAAAGAAGAAGCTTCACAAGCGGATTTATTTATATTCCTTGCAGACAGCTGATCATTTGCCTCCTTTGAGAAGGTTATTGAATGACTGTGTAAAGGATGTAAATTCTTCAACAACCCTCTAAAAGGATGCAAATGACCAACTTTGTCTGCAAGGAGTATAAATCCTTCCATTCCCCACCATCCAGTCAGAGCTGAAGAAGCTTCTTGGATGAGAAGTAAAACGTCTTCAAAAGAAAAAGCAAGAAAGTCCAGTTGCCTCTTGAAAAAAGCACCTTTGGGACAACCATGACCTGGATGACTAAGAATCTATACAGACTTCCACAAGAGGTGATTTCTGATCCCAGCATTTGGGAGGGTTTATGTCAAGAATTATAACCTTTTGTAAT